TGTGATTAAATTTATTACAGGTCAATTTGAGGTACACTTGCAACTCAACACACATTTAGAGTGTACAATTGAGTTAGTTTTCAAGGAAACGTCCTCAGCAAGAAACAGAATCCTCAAGTTAGACATCTGGCAGACACCCTGTTAAACCCAAAAGACAGATTCTCACTTGAAAAAAAGTATGGTTTCAATACCCTAAAACAGTCTATATTTCTACTTCACTGCCAAGAGTAGATTCTGTGTTTTCCATTAACCTGGAAGCTCAAGATTCTCACAAAATACACACAGCTGAGGGCTTCTGGAATTTTCCAGTCATCTTTATTGCTGCAGGCATGAGCCTCAGATGTTGCCCTTCAACACCACCTAGGTATCTTACTCCACCAAACTACTACTGATTATTTTATACAATGCTTTCAGATCACTATTTGAAATGTAATCACCATGAAAATTCAGAGCACAAAACTCCTTTTTCCTACATAACTGATGCTGTGGTCAACATTTAACTTAACAGCTGGTATCAGAGGCACTCTTAACATTTGATGAAACTATCCCCTACACTTCAGCTCATTAGTATCCTGGCTCCACCCATTTATCAACCACACTCAGCCATGGTGAAAAGCAAATATTCTCTGAACTTTAAATCAAGAGCCAAACACTCTCTAGAGAACTTTATGGTACCCACCCCCTACCATATCTCAAAAATGCCCACTTAAAGGGCAGGAGTGTATTACCCCGAGTCAAAAGCCACTAATAAGCATTTTAATGATCTATCAACAGAGATTCACTCCCTCACCTGAGCTAGGTACAGAGGACAACAAGATAAACGAGACACAGCCCCTGCTCCTTGGGTCTAGTGATCCTGTCTTACCTTCTACCAATGGCACTATATTGGGACACTCAAAGGAACAGTCAAAAAGAATACATGTGAAATAGGCCACACTGTTACCCACTCTGGAACAAAGGAAAGGTCTAACTGAATTACATACTCAGATGTATTTTGAAGGAGCACAGTTGAGAAGGGTGGTGGGCAAGATGGTGCGGAAAAAGAATCAGAGTTTCTGAGTCAGAGAGACCCAATCTCAAATCTCACCCCTGAAACTTTCCCCAGTTAGGATCTGGGAGAAACTGTTCTCCCCTAGGAGTGCTCTCCCGCCCGCCCACCTTGGGGGAGGTGTTCTGGTTCTCCCAACGACTGGAGGATGCTAGTGGGCAGGGCCACAGATGCCAAATGTCCTAAGGACAGGAGAGTCCAGTTCAGCAAAGAACTGTTCCTTCCAAGGTGCCGACAGTGTCCACTTCTGGGAATGCTCCTCCCCTCAGCTGCCTCAGTTGTCGGAATAGTGATAAGCATACCAACATTCCAGGCTGAGGGTGACGTTTAAAAAGACGATACAAGTAAAAGTACCCAGCCCAAAGGGATGCACAGTCGGCTTTTGATAAACGCTGTTCTTGCCTCACTATCACGTGTGATACAGCAAAGAAACAAAATTGAGTGATCATTTTCTCGAAGCAAGGAAAATTAGAAGGCAGGTATCCTTTGAATTTCACAGTTTAGCAGTATCTGTTGAACAAGGCTTCACAAAAATTCTCTAAATTGAGACCACACACTCTTTATGACCCAGTGCTAAATCTAATTTTCTTAACACCTCTTTCAATCTGCCTGCACTGATGTATATGGCCCTGAAGAGATCCTAACCCCAGGCCTTTGCTCAGCCTAGAAGACCCATCCCCTACTTCCATCTTCCTAAGTTCTCTACAGGTGGAAAACACCACCAGTGTCCTGAAGTCCCAGATAAAACCACCTCCCCCAGGAAGCCCTCCTGGCTCTCCTCTATCACTTTTGCTGAGCCCAGTCATTGCACACTCATAAACCAGGCTAAACATTACAGCCGTGAATTGAATTCAACTGCAGTTTTCATTTCTATATAATTTAAAACAAATTAATTTAAGCACTTTCTGGATGTGCCAAAGATAGAGAGTATGAACAAGTAATTCAACTGCCAACACCTGAATTCACATATGTAACAGTGTTGATGCAAAAAGACTTTTAACTGCTGCAGGTTAATGAGAGTAGCAGCGAACACAGTATATAAATGTTCACAGCAAATGATGTCCAAACATCTTACAGCACACCGTAAAAGCAAAAGTTGTCCTGTGATTCACGTGGGGAAATACTGGAAAACCTGAATCATGGCATGGTACACAGTGGTACAGTCATGACAACCCCTCAAAAACTTTGTTTTTTTTCTAGTTGGTACCATATGCATTTTGTGAGTAGCCAAAAAAACAGCTGTCAGGATAATGCTGTAAATTTTACTTTTATTGGTCTTGTGGTTACATCTGTGTTTAATTTTCAATTCTGTTCTTAAGGAATTGTTAAGGAATTCTGTTCTTAAGGAATTTATGTCCCATTTGTATTTGTACCTACACAAGTTACATCATGCAACTCATGTAAGTCAACACTGGGAGTGCAAAAAACAAGACTGTACAACTTAAGTTTGAGAGAATGCACTTCGAGTAGAAGAACAAGTCAGGATGCAGACATTCATCCTTAATAAATGTGAAGTGGCCACTGAGTTGCAGGCACTGCACAAGACTTAAAACTTGTTCATTAACTGAAAAGTAGCTATATGACTCCAGGCATGTTTCTTTAGCTATTTTTTATAATAGAACTAGAATACTGATTGTACACGTCTGTCCAACCTCAGGTGTAGTATTTTTTAAAAGTATTCTGTTAATAGTAATGTGCCAGACACACCATGGTAACCCACTCCAGTATTCCTGCCTGGGAAAATCCCATGGACAGAGGAACCTGGCAGGCTACGCAGGGTTGCAAGGGGTTGGACATGACTAACAGCTAAACAAAATACGTCATAGGTACTAGGATGGCTGTTTTCAAGTGGTCTCGTCAGCTTCTCCCAATTCCTTGAACTGGCCCTTTTCTCAGTCATCTTTACATTCCTATCACACCCAGCCCCAAGTCTGAACAGACTCCCTGCCATCTAAAATCACCAGTACAAAAGGTAAACCATGCTCCAACTAAAACCAGGAGTTTTTACTGCCTCTAAAAGAAACAGCCAAAATACTCTTACATTTTGAAATAAGATCACAGTGACAAATCACAATTCTGTTTCCAATCTTGTTAACACCAGGGTGTTGTGTTACTAGGACATTCGGTACTACTAAGCGTTTCCATTTGTTTCATTTAACTTTCAGTAAAGGCTTTGTGTTTATGTCCTTGCAAATAAAAGATTGAAGCTCATTTAAAAGGTAAAACACCCACACAAAGGATTATCCGCTATCCCCTTAACATCTGGCAAGTTCTAAAAGGAATGAAGGACAAAATTAGGGTTCATCTAAGCACAATTAAAATTATGATTGTCAAAAAGCAGAAGTCTGTGCCTCTCTGGAGATAAGGAGAATGGAGAAGTGGTAAGCAGACAAGAGGCAAGTTGCGGGGGTGGCTAGCACCAGAGAGAAAAAGAGATTAGATTTGAGAAGTGGCCAAAAAGCCAAAATAGGGCAGGGAGGCGGGCAAGCTTTCAGGACAGTTCTGATAGGAACCTGAAATGGGCCTGCCTGCTGCCTTCTAATCCTGACTCAAGGCTAGTTCCGAGGCTACTTCGGGTTTCTTTTCAATACGGCTTCCATATTATCATCCAAGATTGTCAGTGCCGTTACAGTGACGGCAGGCACCAAGGGCTGCCTGCCTACACCAGCGTTCTGACATTCTGGTTGAGCCCTGTCAGACTTCAAAACTATTTTTAACTACTATGTAAGTCTGAATTTTAAATTCTCTCTTAACAGGGCGATAATAGCTGAAGCCTCACAGAAGAAGTCTTCCTGTTGTAGTAGGAACCTTCTTGGAAAGATGTGGCAGATTTGTTAAGAGGGTCATAATGCAAATGCTTCACAAGCAGGGAAACTGAGGAACACAAAAACGGCCAGGATCCAATCACAAGACAGGAATGAATACCGATGGAAGCAACTCAATCAGTTACAGTTCTGTTTCCTATCCAGTTTTCTTTGAAGCTCTCCAGGAAGCCTTTAACGACTGAAGTAAACATAGCTTTCAGGAGAGCGTCCTTCCAATCACGAGTGATCTTCTGGTGCAATGTGGAGGAAGAGGCAGCAGAGTAAGCCTCTCTAGCCATCAAAAGTTTTAAACAGCGAGTTGTATATCACTTAACCCCTCTTCCTCCCTCAGGACAGATGAAAAGACTCCGGAACAGGTATTTTTATTAGTCATGAATTTTTGAAAAAGCTCGATTTTACAGCAGCAGGTGGGGGAAGGAGAAAAGACTGCAAAAAAGGGGGGCACGTTTGTATTATTACAAAAACCAAGACAGCTCGACTCCAGGTTTCTGGAATCCGTCTGGGATCTTGAGGCAGATGTTTTTTCCGAGATTTGGGGAAAGAAGGGTGGCATCATTTAAATGTCAGGCAATGGTAAATAAGCCTAGCGACGGTTTGATATTTTGATGGGATCTTTGGGAACTCAGCATCATCATTCTTTAAATATATATATATTTTTTTAGAAACTAAGATTAAGACGGCAAAATCCCAGCCGCGCGGGTGGCGCGCCAAGCGTTACCGCTCCCATCGGAGTGGTTTTCGGATCGCCCTCCTCGCCCTGGCGGACGGCTGGGCTCACTGCTCTTTCGCATTACCGCCGGCAGGACGCCGGGGGACTCGCTCCGGCCGGAGAACTCAGAGCAGGCGCGAGTGTGGGGCGGGAACCGAACCCCGTCCAGGGACGGGAATGGGGGGCTTGAGCGCCCCGGGGGCTGGCCCGGCCGCTGGCCACGGGCTTCACCCAGATTTGCAGACCAAGTGATGCGGCGCGGGAAGTGAGAGAGAAGGAAAAAACTTGAGCAATGGAGGAAGGAGAACAGAAAGTGGGGAGCGCAGCCTGGCCGACAGCGGCCGGCCGCGGGCACCGGGGCCAGGAACCCCCCGTCCCGCGAGTCGGGGCGGGCCCCCGACGACCCCCGCGCTCCCACCTGGCAGCGTCCCGGCCCGGCGCGGGCGGCTGGCTTGTCCCCGGCCTCTCCTCCTCTTCCTCTTCCTTGTCCCGGGAAGGGCTTCGGGGAGCAAAGAATCGGGAAAAGCTGTGCCAGGGGGCGCCGCCCCTCCTCCGGCCGCCGGACATCTCCCCGGCGCGGCAGCCGGTCCGAGGCCGTCCGCTGGGAACGCGCGAGGCGGTGTTCGGAGCCCGGCCCGGGGCCGTGGGACTCGGCGCGGCGGCCGGCGCGGCTCAGTCCATCCCGGGCGGCAGAAGCGCGGGCGCGACGGGCGGCCCGCACGACTCCTTCTCGTGCGCTCAGGCGGCTCCTCCCTCCACCCCCGGGCCGCCCGCCCCCAGGAGGAGCCAGAGGCCGCGGCCCCGCCCCGAGCCCGGGCCCGGCCGCCGCCGCGGGCCGGTCCCGGTTCTCGGCGTGGGCCCGAGATCCGGAGGGGACGCGCCACCCCGCAGCGCCGGGCTCCGGGCTTCCCGCCCCAAAGAGCTCAGCCTGCCAGCCCATTTGTCTTTTCGCTCATTTTTTTCTATTACTGATGTTTTTCTGTCGTCCAGTCAGTGCACGGAACGGTTTTCAGACTTTTGAAACAAGTTCGTGAGATAAACTTTGAAAGAAGCTCATGAACTAAACTGCGGTACTAGAGTGCCCTGGGCTGCCTTTCAGCTAACGAACAGTAATTCCTTAAACAGTTTCCCGGGACTGAAAAAGTTGCGGCTACCCCGTGGCCCAGTCTCAGAAGTGGAGGGCGCCATAGGTGCCTGTTCAGGTCCGTCCACAGGTCCTTTCTGGTTCGGCTGGCTTACTCTCTGTGGGGTAGCTCACCTTAACCGAGATGTGCTTTGGTATTTGTCATACTCCGTGTTATTAATACATACTGCTTCCCGGCGAGCCCTCTTGCAAAAACGACACTGATCAAAAACAAGTGTAATTCAAACTATGCTGAAACGAATATTTTGTAGTCATTACACAGACGTCACGGAAATCTGGAAACCAAAAGGTCCTTAAGATTTACTTTGAATTATGTCTCAATACAGTCGTTTGACTTTTCTTAGTTTTATTTTTTTATACATACAAAAAGCTTTAATAATGAGACTGACGATAAATATACACCACGAAACTGTCAGCACAATCTATGCTATAAAACCATCCATGACTTCCAGACCTTTCCTCCCACTCTTATTATTATAAACAATTATGACATAAGATCTGCCTTCTTAGCAAAGTTTTAAGTATATAATACAGTACTGTGAACTACAGGCACTGTGCTGTAAGTAGAACTCAAAGATTTACTCATCTTGCATAACTTCAACTTTCCCTTTGAGTAATACCCTGTTTATTAATAATGCCCTGTCTCCCCTCCCCCAACCCCTGGCAACTCCCTTTCCAAACTGCTTCTATGGATTTGACTGTTTTAGATTCATCAGTATAAGTGAATCCAAATATAGTGAGTATTTGTCCTTCTGTTTCTGTCTTATTTCACTACTATAGTAGCATAGATGCTTTTTGTTTTTTAGTTTTGTATATCCTGGTGGCTAGTAGAGAAAACATCAAGGGACCCATTTACCCCAGGCGGTTTGTTTTAAAGTCAAGCTGCCCCTGAGAGGGTCTAGAAGTGATAAAAGTGATTATCTTATACCTGTTCGCTAAAAATTCTATACAAGTAAATGAGAGAAAATGAGATGTCCAAGGCAGTTCTGACTTGGGGGAGGGGAAAGGAGGTACCCTGAGGTTGGCCTGCTCTGACTGGAGTCTTGGAGGAGGAGAAGGTTGCTTATGAGTAGATAGGATGTCCGTAAGCCCCATTTCAGTATCAGCTGAGGGCTATTGAACTTTCCTGCCACAACGCAGCTGCCACCTGGAAGCACTCTCTAACCCCTACCAACAGCAGCAGAGACCAAGGCTCGCCTTAATTTGTTCTGGTTCAGTTTAACCTACCAAAGTTAAATCAGTACAGATTCTTTCTGCTGGGTTCACCCCAAACTATCCCTCAAGATTGACCAGCGCTTTCTCTTTTGAAAACCTCCTGTGAGGAAAAAGCTAGAACAATGTGCTAGAATAAGACAAGTAAAGTTCCCAATTGAGTCTTACTGTTTTTGGGAGGAATCTCCATTAAAAGCCTGCTTGCCAGAAAGCCCAGAGAATATGAAAGCAAAGAGAGTAGGAAGCCAGTTGTTCCCTCCAGCTAGAAGGCCTGGAGAATTAATCTCCCCAAAGGAAGACTAGATGGCTACCAGATGTGTCCACCCTTGTACTGCGACCAAAGCAGGCCCTACACCCTACTATCTACCAAGAGGGTGGACTGTTCAGGATGTTTCTCTGGGGATAAAATCTTATTGGGGCCAGTACAGTTTATCACTGACTTACGGGTTTATCTAATACTGCTATTTCTTTGAGAAAATAATTTCTCTAAAAAAATAGTTCTCAAGGGGAAAGCTGGGCTAGTCATATTTTTTCAATAATCACTATCCTCAGTGGGAGAAGGCATCAGAATCATGTCAGGTAAAGTCCTTCATTTATCTAGAAACTATTTATTTATAGTATTGGTGGTGATAGTTGAGGTAGTAGAATGTTCATCCAGCTAGAATCCCTCTATTAATAAACAGCTTGCAAAGGTATAAGATAATATAAATGTTATTAGAGACCCCTAAAATAAACAGTTGGGCCAATACAAACTCATTATATATATATATATAGTCATATGAAAAAAAAAAAAGTGTTAGTCACTCAGTTGGGTCAGACTCTTTGTGACCCTTTGGACTATAGCCCACCAGGCTCCTCTGTCCATGGACTTCTCCAGACAAGAATACTGGGGTGGGTAGCCATTCCCTCCTCCAGGGGACCTTCCCAACCCAGGGGTCAAACCTGGGTCTCCTGCCCTGCGGGCAGACTCCTTACCCTCTGAGCCAATAGGGAGACCCCATGTACCATGTGATCACATTCCTGAGTTAACATTGCAAATGACTATGCAATGAGGTGCCTTGAAACTTTGGCTTCATCAGCTTCACAATAAATATGCTTCTACCATAGATACTCTTTAAATGTCTTCAAGAAAAACTGAATGAACAAATGAAGATGACTGTGCTAAATTAGAATCTCTAAGACCCTTACAACTCTAAATTTCAACCTTTTTACAGACTTCCTAATGCAATCTTAGAACTCAATATTCAGAAGTTCATTATTATGAGTTCGGAACGTAAGAGCAGATGACATCTAGGAATGGATCAGTACTTGAAATGTAAATAAATGAAAATTCAGGGGTCACTGATTTATGGCTTTAAGCTAATTTTTCATAGACAAAGTTTGCCTTAATGGAGGCAGGGCACCAGGTATACTTGCATTCATTCAAATGCTTTGCAAACTCTATGAAAAATTAGCTTAAAGCCATAAATCAATGACCCCTGAATTTTCATTTATTTACTTTTCAAGAAATGATCAGTTCCTCATTTAATGAGTATGTTACAAGTATATTTACTGTAAGGCTGATGAAGCCGAAGCTTCAAGGCATCTCATTGGCATGGTCTCCTCCAAGGTGAGTTCAGGAATGTGATCACTTGGTGGTATTTATGAAATTTACAAAAGCAAATGTTTAAACTGCACAATTAAGACCACAATCTCTTTCCACTTGGATTTTCCCTCCATCACCTTATTCCTAGAGTCAGTTGGTATTGGAGTTACTGGAGGCCCTTTAGGACATGACGGGAAATGTGTGGTGTGGATTTTAGTTTGGATTTAGTTGGATGTATTTCTGTGGTTGTCAGTTTCTCCAAAGAATAGCTGTTACTGCTTTAATTTCAGTTTGTTCATTGGGCAACTCACCAAGCATTACACCTAAGATACGGGACCAGAGGCACTATCGCAACATAACATATCTGAAGTCCTCTAATACTGAAAATGTGTAGGTGGTAGAGGTGAAGCAAGATTCAAACTGTACAATAGCAAAAGGTGATTTGTGGAAAACTATTTCAGGCAACAGAAGATAAAACTTAAAAGAATCACTTCTAATTGATGCAATTTCTCTCAAAACAGTTATATGTTAAATAATGTAGTGGATACAATTTTTATAATTGTAAATGCAGCAAACTTTTAAATGAAATTCATGTAAAATAGAACTTATGATAATATTTGTTTGTAGGGCACAAACCTATAGCAATACCACAATGAGTGTGTATGTGGGTATATAATGTTGTATGCTTACCTAGCCTTTCTATCAATAAGTATGCTCATCCAAATTTAAGGAAAGACTTCATTATCTTTCCACTATATGTATAGAAAATATTAGAAAATGTCATATGAAAGAATACACTAACAAAAATATAAGAAAAATATTATAGAAGTATAATAGGCAGATAATGGAAAAAATGCTGTTTTTCTAGACTGTGACATTTGTAATATTAATCAATCATTTAAAATTGGTCATTTGTATGATTTATTTTTTCATTCACTTATATATATAATTTTTATTTTAAATTTTAAATATTTTTCTTTAAAGAGAAATTGCAAAAATCTTCAAGTTTTTAAGGTACCTTAAAGGCACCAGGTACCTTAAAACTTGGATTTGTCCTTGAATGCTGACTATGGATCAGAAACACACTCATTCTTAGAGATACAGTGATAAGACCAAGAGATTTCCCTCAAGACACAAGTCTGATGGGGTGAACAGATGAGCAAAGCAGATAGGAAAAGAGAAAGTCTTTCTATGAGCATAGATAGGATGGACCCCAATTTAGTCTACAATGCAGGAGACATATGAGACATGGGTTCGACCCCTGGGTCGGGAAGATCTCCTGGAGGAGGAAATGGCAACCCACACCAGCATTCTTGCCTGGGGAAGTCCATGGACAGTGGAGCCTGGTGGGCTACAGTCAGGGGGTCTCATAGAGTTGGACACAACTGAGGCAACTTAGCACGCACACATGCCAACTTAGTCTAGAATTTCCATGAAGGCTCACTAGAAGAGACAACTGTCAGTTTGTTCTTTTCCTCTGCTTCCTGTGACCACCATGACTTCCACAAAAAGAGTACAATTCAATAGCTTATTTGATATGTGAGAAAAGCTCAAGTTCATCACACTGAACTACACTGAACTACCATTCCCAAAGCATAAGCACATTACTCCTCAGAAGTATGAGAA